GGGGTACATCCTGCCGATCCGGGAGGCCCCCCGCCACGACTCCGGTGCTTGACGATCTGGGGGGCCAGGCGACGGCAGGGTGGGGGACAGGCTGGGGTGGGGGGGTCTGCCCGAGAAAGAAGGGGCAGCGGTGTGGGGCAGGGGACCCCGGAGTTTCCCCACCCTCTGAGCGAGAGCGCGGGGTCGCGGGGACCAAGGGGCGCCAAGGCCCCCGCCGGGCGTGGGGCGCGCGACCGGCGCAGAAGGTCGGGCGAGCGGCGGCCGGTTTCGGAGGCGCGGGCGGCGGGCCCCGCGCGGAGCCGCCTCCCTCCGGCGGGGCTCGGCCGGGAGCCGCGGGCAGAGCCGCCTTAAGGTGGCGCCGCCGCCCCCGGCCCGCCCACCCGGCCCGCCCGCTCCGCGCGCCGCGGCCCCAGGACCACCCCCTCCCTTCCACCCGCGACCAGCAGGGAAACTGAGGCTAGCGTCCAGCCCCGCAAACGTCGCCACTCCCCGCTCTCCCGAGGACCCAAGAGAGTAAAACCAGTTAAATACCTAGTGACCCACTGTGAAGGTAGCTTGGTGCGGGGAGGACAGGAGGGGGCCAGAAATGGTCTGAGGAAGTGGGCTTAGACTTAAGGATGGGGAAAACAGCCTGCCAAGCGCTGGCTGGAGAACCTGCCTGCAGGGACAGGGTCTAACCTGTAAAAACAGCAGAGAAGGGTCGAGCTGCAGGGCAGAGCCAGGCCCCTCCACTCTCACTGGGCCTGGGTATTCGGTATTCGCACCTGTAAAACGGTCAAAGCAGGGTCTATTTTTCGACTACACGCGCAGGAACAGCCCTCAGCCTGCCCTGGAATGGAGTAAACTTCCAGAGATGGGAGTTGGGTTCCCATGGCCACACCAGTGGACCTGGCTCTCTCCCCTCTCAGACCATGAGCTCCTAGAAAACAAAGGTCCCACTGAGGACAAACATGAATCTCTGCCATCAGACTGAGATCTCTCTGAGGGTGGGGCTCCATCTCCCATTGCAGACTGCAGATATCCAGTGAGGTGGTAGGTGGGACATTCTTATTCCCATCTTGCTCATGAGAAACTTCACGGTCGTTTGTTAAGTCAATCAACAAACATGTGTGGAGAGCCTAGTGTGGGCCAGACACTGCTTCAGCCCCAGGAGTTCAACAGGGAACCAAACAGAGAAAACCCCTGCTCTTGTGTTAATATCTGCTCCTGTGTCTGTAGGTGAGTGAGCAGAAGCATGCAAAAGCCCTGTTGAATTTATTGAGCACCTATGACATGCCAGGCCTCCTTCTAGGCACAAGGAATACAGGATGGATGAAGAACAGATTTCTTTCCTTCTCTGAGATCAGTGGATAAAACAAGATTGTAGCTTGAAAATCATGAAACTGTGTGTGTGTACAAAGAGGCTTTAGGGGGGCAATTATGGAGATTAGAGGGAATCTACTTATTTGGGGTGTATGAGAGAAACCTTTTGGAGGAGGTTGACACATGAAGGATAAAGATGGGGAGTCATGGGAAGAGGAAGGTAGGTTCTAAGAATAAAGGATAAAGATACGTGTGTGTGTTATGAAAATGTTAGTCGCTCAGTCATGTCTGACTCTTTGCAACCCCATGGGCTGTGGCTCACTGACTCCTCTGTCCATGGAATTCTCCAGGCCAGAATATTGGAGTGGGTTGCCATTCCCTTCTCCAGGGGAATCTTCCTGACCCAGGATGGAACCCAGGTCTCTCGCACTGCAGGCAGATTCTTTACCATCTGAGCTACCAGGGAAGCTGAGGTATGAGTATTCAATGGTTCCCTATTGCCATCAAGAAAAAAACCCAAACTCCTTCCTCTTCCCACAAGGCCCTGCACAAACCCCCTCCCTTCCCTAATCCCAGCTCACATCACTTTCACCCTCTTTCATTCCCCTCCAGCTACATGGGCTTCTCCTGCTGTTCTTCGGAGACACCAGGTACAATCCTGCCCCAGGGCTTTTGCATTTCCTGCTCCCTTTCCCTGGAATGCTGTTCCCTAGCTTCTCATTATTCAGGTCTCAGCACCAACATCAACTCCTTTGAAAGGCCCTTCCTAGTCACCCATTTAAGAAATATTCACCCACCCACTCCACCCTGTTATTCTCAAACACTGCATCTTGTATTGTCGCTTGCTCTCTTGGCCCTATCAGAGTTTTGTTTTGTCATGATTGTGTTTCTTTGTGGGTTGTTCCACTCATTCTTCTCCCTCACTCGGCCATGTTGGGACAGAACCTGTCTTAGTGCCTGCAGAACCTGGCACACAGTAAGTACTCAATAAATGAACAAGCAGGGGTGTGAGAAGAAGAAACAGTGGATCCAACTAAAGGCAGACATCACTGACCACACTCCTGCTGGGGAATTCTAAGAAACAGAGGGTGCCAGCCTCCCATGACGCCAAAAGTTCATCATTCCAAGTTTTGGGGCATCTGTGCAGTCCTAATTCCAAAACCTTTCCAGGAGGTAGCTTACCTCCCTGGGAAGACCAAAGCTCCCCGCTCTAGGCCACTTCCTCATCCTCTACTGCTTCCACCTCCTGAAGTCCAACGGTTCCTTTTTAACCCTCATCTCAGACCTGTGCACAGAATGGACTTTTCCCTCCCTGCCCCCATGCCCTCCCGACGTGCTGGCCCTGGATCTTCTAAGAGGCTAGTCTCTTTCCTCCTAGCCTAGTCATCTGAATGTCACCTTCGCCCACACCTCTGGCTGCCCAGGCTCTGAGGCACCATGTTCTCTTAGAGGCTTCAGGCATCACCTTCATGAAGATGGCTTTAAGCTCTGGCTCCACCCCTGGTCCCTACCCTGAGACCCAGCCCCATGGGTAGAGTCCCCACTAATGGATGTGCCCCAGGCCACTAGATGCAGCAGCTTTCCCCAGACCTGTCCGTTGCCCTGTTAGACCCCAATCACCTTGATCCTCCAAGATCCTAGAGCATCATCCTAGTCTCTTCTCACCTCTTGACCTACCATGCAACCTTGCTTCCCATCCCCACACCCCTTGCCTGCATCAGCCCTTCTTCTTCTCCCATCTGGACCTCAAGCCACCTTCTCACTCTGAGTACTTTTCACTCTTGTCACTTTCTGAGTCTGGCCTGCCCTCACTTAAAGCTACCCCATGGCTCCTTATTGCCCTTGGGACAAAGTCCCAGATCTTCAGGCTAGCATCAGATGCCCTGCACTACCTGGTCTAAGCCAGCTTTACCTCCCTCCATCAGTTGAAACACTCTGCCCAGGCCACACCAGCCAGATTACCTCATCTGTGTTCTTTCCTACCTCTGGGCCTTTGTTTTTGTTACTACCTCTTTCTGGAATCCCCTCCCACTCCTTTTCTGCTTGGAGAAAATCCATTCCTTCATAGTTCAACCCAAAAGGCACCTCCTCCAGGCAGCTTCTCTAAAAGGCATCTCCCACTACACACATACTGAGCATAGACTGTTTAAAATTGGCAGGTTCATATTTATTCTTTAACCACCTCTTCACGGGGAAGATGCTGGGGCCTTGGCGAGGGCCAGCCCCAGGCCTTGCTTGGGAGGTTCCAAGGGGCAGGGGGCATGAGACTGAGCTGAGGACACCCTGCAAGTCCATATGAGCAGTGCCAGGACAAAGGGAGTGCCCAGAGACTAAGGGACCCAGAGGAGGAACAGGAGCTTTGCCTGGTGAGTTCAGAAAAGGCTTCCTGGAGGAGGGGACCTTTACCCATCAGTCTTCAGATCCCTCAGCCAGGCACACTCCACGTGGGAGGGTAAATACAGATTTGTGGATTGCCTGAGAAGCCACAAAACCACACACACACACACACACACACACACACACACACACACACTACAAGTCAGTGTGTATAATTTGCCAGGAAGGAGGAGATGGTTTGTTCTGAGCAGAACAGCTTTGGAAGCAGCAGCTTTGAGAGTTTGGGAAGGCTCAGCAGAGAGCAGTCTGTGAGATGGGTGGAGAAGATGGTGGGGGGGTACCCCTAAGCGGCCGATTACTTGATAACTCGCTGAAATGCCACATCCGGCCAGACAGGGAGGCAGGGAAAGGACTGCCAGGCATGAGTTACAGCCTGGGCAGTCTAGCACAACCTTCTCATTTCACTAGAAAGGCTTTCCCGAGCTAACTCATTTGCCATCCAGGGCTTCACGCCCCACCCCTCTGGGTCTCAGTTTCCCCATCTACAAAACCCTGGGAGAAGGGCAACGTTGGGGAAAAGGACTTAGCTTTTGACCTCTTCCCTCCCACTGCACAGAAAGACTCAGCCCCGGTTCCTGGCTGGGTTTTTATGATGTGGATATGGTGTGTGTGTGTTTTTTTTTTTTTTTAAAGGAAAAAGCTGAGAAGCAGCACTGGGACCCGGTATTGCTCAGACCACCTTAAATCAGCCTCGCCGCCCCAGCTACTGTGGAAATTCCTTTCTCTGAGGTGGTTGGCTGGGCACGCCAGCCAATCCGCCTGCGGCGCTCCCACATGGGTCCGTGACGTCACAGTGGGCAATGGCCAATGGTGATCAGGGATCTGGCAACCAATGGCAGAAAGCGCTAGGATTGGCTGGGCCAATCGGAAGGCGGCAAGGAGCTCCCAGCAGGGTATGGAGAGTGTGGTTCCCCTCCCTGAGAGAAGCCTGAGATCCTCGTGGACGACTGATTCTGCCCGGGTTGGCCCTTCGTGGGGTACTCCAGCTCGGTTAGTATCCAAAAAGCGGGGAGAAGCGGATCACCTCCTAAGCCTGACTGGTCTTCCCTTAAAAAGAGTTCCGTAGTCCAATATACTGCCTTGCAAAAGCCTGGCCAGCTGGCTGGGCCGACTAGCGCCTTTCGCCCTATTTCACAGATGGGTAAACTGAGGTAGAGACGTCAAGTCACTCCAGATGCCCAGGAAGAACTGAGACTCTCACCCGAGCCCGGAGTCTCCCAGCAAGGCTCCGTTTCTCCCATCATGTCGGATGGGAAGGGATGGACCCAGGTATAGGCGAAGGGAGAGGGTTGCTGGTCCCCATGACTCAGTTTCCCCGGGCGCGAACGGGAGAGGAGATGGGAGCAGGGATTCTCACAAAGACTACGAGCCCCAGAAGCTCCCGCGCGGCGCCCGCCCGGGCTGTCAATCAAAGTAACGTGGGTCCCTCTCCGGCCCGCGCTACCCCGCCCGCCGCCTCGCTCCTGCCAGCTCCTGCTCCCTCCCCGCCGGCTCTGGGCCCGGCGCGGTATAATTACAGCCCATTGATCCGACCCGGGCCGGGAAAGCGGCTCCCTCGGGGAGGCCAAGCCTTTGGCTTCCGACTTCGCCAACCTCTGCCTACCGCCCCCCTAGCCGAGCTGCTGGGCCACCAGCCAGGCCTGTCCCCTCCCGCTAGCCAGGGCTTTCGGGTGACCTCTGAGCCTCCGTTCCCGCCACGGTTGGCTGTGAGCCCCCCTCAGAAATGTCACACACGTTTCCTTCCACCCATGAACACGGGGAGCCCTCCTGCCCTCTTCTAGCGCCCTCTACCTCCTCATGTGACCTAGGGACACTTAAGCGCATCTCTCTGGGCCAGTTTTCTCACCTGTATAGTGAGATGGTTACACACTATTTATTCATGAAACCAATGCTTTCTGCTGCTCCCAAGCTTGCAGCCAGGGCTAGGCCATGCAGGAGGGGTTCCCAAGTTTGGGGAAGTGGGAGGAGACGAAGCACAAGACTCAGTCCCCTGAGAGTGGTCAGGGCTGAGGAGAAGGGAGGACCTGGGGTGGAGATGGGGGGTGAAGGCAGAGCCAGGAGTGAGGTGCCTACATGGAAAGTTGGAAAGGCATGCTAGGTGTTTGGTGGGGTGTTTAAGCTGAGGTTCTGCAGGGTACATAGGAGTTGCCTCATTTGAACTGTGCCTTTATATAACCCTAACCCAACATGGAAGAGGGAAGATGGGGCAACTTTAAACCCTGCCCTGGAATTGAGGAGCCTTGAGGTCTGACCTCTTGCCTTACTGAGTGGACCTCTGAACAGTCTCTGGCTGTGAAGCTGAAGCGGGGAGTGAGCACAGCATGCGTATAATATCACTCTGCCTACTTTCACAAGGGTCTGTAAAATCCCATTAGGCTCTGGTTAATGGGGGACAGGGGAGACAGCAGACAGTGACAGGAGGCACTGGGATTGGCTGAGGGCTCCAAACTCCAGCCTCCCCCTGGGCAAGAACTGGACTGCAAAGGGGGAAAAAAAAGAAAGGACTTTTGGGAGTCCAGGATGGGCCTGGACTCAGTGGGTATTCTCATCTGGAAAAGGAGATTGATAATAGAATCTTCAAATAAGTTCAGGCCTATAAAGTACTTAAAATGCTTCATAGTAGGGACTTCCCTGGTGGTCCAGTGGCTAAGATTCCAGGCTCCCAATGCAGGGGGCCTGGGTTTGATCCCTGTTCAGGGAACTAGATCCCATGTGCTGCAACTAAAGATCCCACATGCCGCAGCTAACACCTGACACAGCCAAAGAAATAAATATTTTTTTAAACTCATAGTAAATGCTCTAAACAAGGTAGCCATTTATACTTCCCCTATACCCCAAAGGGCCCTTCTCTACCCAGCCTCACTTCACACCCAACAGCTGGGCTATGCGCTCACTTTTCACTTTTCCCACATCTTTGATCACCCACGAAAATGTGAATCCAATCTCACCCTTTCCTCTACTCAAGAATCTTCCATAGCTCCCATCACCCTCAGAATAAAATCCAAACTCCCCACCTCTGTCTACAAGATCTGACCCCCCATCACTTTCCTCCTTCTCTCCTCATCACTAACTCCTCACAGGCCTTTTCCCTGTTCCTCCAACACCGCAGGCATTGGAGGTCCTGCCTCAGGGCCTTTGCACAAGCTGTTTCTTTTGCCTGGACCAGGACTGGCTCTCTCCTCTCAAGCTTAGATCACACATCACCACTGAGGGAGGCCTGGCTTGGCCAGCCTGACTCTAGCTGGCCCCAACTTCCCTACCTGGTCAGCTTCTCTCATTTTACTTCCTTTGGAAACTAGTCACTCTCTGAACATTTACAACTTCTTTAAAAAAAAAAAAAAATTTTGGCTATCTCTCCTGGGATCTCAGTTCCCCAGCCAGGGATCAAACCCATGCCCTCCTGCAGTGGAAGTGCGGAGTCTTAACCTCTGCACTGCCAGAGAAGTCCTGAATGCTCACAATTTATTTGTTTAATGTTGATGGTCTGTCCAGGCCCAACCACACCTGTTCCACATGTGTTGGGAAGCTTAGGGGTAGAGCCTCTCCCAGGTCATTTGACATGTGGGGCAGAGTCCCAGAGCCCCTGCCAGCCTATCCAGTGCTAACCCTGCCAGTAAGGCACCTCTGCAACCTGAAGGTCTGGGATCAAATCCTACCTTGGCTACTGTGCTCCTGTGACTCTGTAAAATGGGGATAATGCCAGATATTTTCTCATCAGTGTCACAGAATCAAAGTTTGACAGATGAAACAGCTTCAGCTATTATGATGATGTCAGGGTGTGCAACTGGGGCAAACAGGGTTGGAGCTCACACTCATAAGGTGTCCCCCTTTTTTGGGGCCAAACCTCAGGGCATGTGAAATTTCCCTGGCTAGGGACCAAACCCGTGGCCCCTACAGTGGAAGTGGAGTCTTAACCATTGGACCACCGGGGAAGCCCAAGGCATCCCCTATTTTTAAAACCCTGGGGTTTCCTGGTCAATGTATCTATCCTAGACCCCACATCACCAAACTCACCCCGCCACCCCACCCATGCCAAGCCTTGACCTCACCCTCTGTACTTTGCATGCCCTTTGTACATGCCCTTTGTACTTGGCATCTCTGTGAATTCTACCTTGATCTCTCCCCTGGGGAGGGCGCTCCTTGCTGGACCTGAGACTCTCCCAGCCCCCTTGCACTGCACAGATGTGAGTGGGACACTGCGTCCAATATAAATCTCCCTCTCCAACTTCTGATGTGCAGCCAGTGGTTTTATCCTCTCTGGGCCTCAGTTTGCTCATCTGGAAAAGGGGGCTGTCCTTGGTAATGGTTCTCAAGACATTGATTACTCTGGGCTAGCTGCTTTATTCACTTGACCTTGTGTCTGATGTTCACAGCTGCCCTGCAAAGTAGGGGATGAGACCCTGCAGTTGACCAGGCTGAACTGCCTCCAGGCTTCTGCCCTGGGCTCTCTTTGCCTGGAACACCTGCCCCCACCCCATCCCCTGTATGCAGGCTCCTGTTGTCATCCCCGTCTCAGCTCAAATGTCACCTCCTTGGAGAGACCTCCCCCCATCTCCTGGCTTAAGTAGCCTCTTGTCATTCTCTGTCTCCTGCCCCTACTGGATTTTTCTCCCCAGCACCTGACTGTTCTCGGAAATTATCTTATTCACGTGTTTATTACCTGTCTTCTCTACCCACTGTGGGTTCCACTAGGGGCAAAGAGAGGTGCTGTCCTGAGCCCAGGGCAGCCACCACAGAGTCTGGCACACAGCAGGCGCCCAATAAATTGCGGTTGCCGGTGGGTGGTGGGTCTCGATTGGGAGTCGGGGTGGGGGTGGGGGATGGAGGCGGCCAGGCCCAGAGACGCCGAGGGACCTGTCCAAGGTCACACAGTAGGCGGTGCTCGGGGTGAGCGCTCGGTGGCTGTGGTACCCCTCCTGCGTGCTGGGTGGCCGCCCCCTCGTCCCCCCACGCCGCCGCGGCCGAGGAACCACAGGTAACCCCACAGGCCGGACCGACGCGTCACCCAACTGGCCAGGTCAGGCCCAGCAGGGGACGCGGAGCGAGGGCATCGCCCCTCCCCCGCCTGGGAGGCGGGAGGCTCAGAGGGGAGGGGGAGGAGGAAACGGAGGGGACTAAGCGGGGAGGAGGGGCGGGGGAAGAGGAGAGGGTGAAGGGGGCGGAGGAGGAAAGGGCGAAGGGGCGGGGCGGGGAGGGGGCGGAGGGGAGGAAGACGCGCCGAGGCGGAGGGTCAAGGGCGGGGAGAGGCGGGCTTCCTGGCCTGGCAGGCGCCCAGCAACCGTGCCCTGGGGCCCTGGGTGGGTGGGAGAAGTCTGTAGGGGGAGCTGGAGGCGGGGAGGACCAGCGAGGTCGACTGAGAGGCGGGGATGGCGGGGAGGGAGCACAGTAGGAGGGAGTGTTCGAGGGGGAGGAGAGAGAGATTGAGAAAGACCTTGAAGGACCGAGGAAGAGAGAGACTGAGACCCGGAGGTACCCGGAGGCAGACGAGGTGCAGAGATAGTCGGAGGACAGACCCCGCGAGAGCTCTGCAGAGCAGAGTGCTTGGGTGTTTGGCAGGGCCTTGGGGTACAGGCAGCTCCCTCCTGCAGCCCCTAAAGTCAGAAAATACCTAAATTCCATGCGGGCCTTGTCCTGGGGTCCTGCTTCTGTCTCCCTTCCAGACCGGCCCCTCTGCGACCCCAGAAGATCCTACTCATCATGGATGTGGCTGCTCCCCTCCTCTGTTCCAACATCTTCCACGGCTCCCGGAAGCCCTACAAGGCTGGCCTAGGCCCACCCATCTCGCTGGCTCTTTGCTATCTTATCACTTTCTTCCTACATCTTCCCTGAACACCTACTGTGCGCCAGGCAGGAGTCCAGGCCCTAGGGATTCAGGAGTAATCCAAACAGACCCAGTCCCTGTTGTTGAACTTATCTCCGGTGTGGGGAAAAGCAGAGGACAGGGAATATTTGTTGACCTAAGTTGTTCACAGCGATCAATGCTGTAAAGATAAAGCCAGCAGGAGAGAGGGGGTGGTGGTGATGGCCAGAGTGCAGTGGCTGCGGGGAGAGTTTGTGCCACCATGCTCAGTCACCCTCAGACTGGAAAAGGATGCCAAGTAGAATGAAGCCCCAAGCAAGGGGAAGGGCCAGAGCTCTACCCACCTGCGGTGGGTCCAGGCAAAGATGTGTGTCTTCCAGTATCCTGGTTCTCTGCTGTGTGCCCCTACTTGACGCCTCAGGCCTCAGTTTCTTTATCTGTAAAATGGTCCTTCCTTCAACAGGCATGTTCAAGAATTGTTTGCGAACTGCAGCTGAAGCCCCGAGCCAAGGTCAGAGCATAATAGATGTTCAGTGGCTGGCAGCCATCCATGATTTCTGTTATCCTTATGATCTGCATTGCTTTCCCGATTATTTCTGGTCCTGCCTAGTGGGGCCGAGAGCTCTACCAGCCAGCCAGCCAGCCAGCCAAGGGCAGGAGACCGGCTATGGCCCTGTCTTGTCTTGTGACTTTTGACAACTTCCTGCCCTTCCTCAGGCCTCAGTTTTCCTGTCTGTACAATGGGGTGGGCGTGTGGGGTGGTCACGCCCAGGTCCCTGATTCCACATCACTGCAGGTGCTTTTTGTTTCTCCAAGTCTAAGTTCAAGGTGCAAACTCCCAGACTCTGGAAGGAGGAAGGCCACATAAATATTTCAGGCAGCAGATGTACCTGGCCAGCCTGGAATGTGAATGTTTAATGTCACATCCTCATTTAGAGGATGTTTCCCCCCCCCCCCCCAGCTGGCTGGAAAGTCTGTTAGTCCTTGACCCCTCCTCAGCCCAGGAGGCCAAACCAGGAGGAGGAGGTGAGCCTGGTTCTGGGGGACTGGGGTGCAGGAGGGTGCTGGGTCAGCCTCTTCCCACTGGGGCCTGTGGGAGGACATGATTGTATGCATAGGAACATCATGGCTTAGAGAGAGTCAGGGACTGCATACCCTGAAGCACACGGATCCTCGCTGCTGGAAAGACCCTTAAAAAGGGGGAGAAGAGGGGACTTCCAGAAGGGCCTAGGTTCTGGGAGGGGGGTGGGGTAGTCAGAACAGTTGGGTTCACCAAGACCTGTGCCCCCGCAGCCCCCTCTGGGGTCTCTCTGCCCCTCCCCCTTGCCTCCTTCCCCCTTTTCAATTGCTCCTTCACTCCCCGCCTTCCTCCCCTCCCCCACATCCCCCCTTCTTTCCTTCTCCCTCCTTTCCCCAACCCCCCTCCTTCCTCCTGCCTCTCACTTCTCTCCCCTCTCTTCTCTTCATCCTCCCTCACCCCCTCCTCCTCCCCCCTTCCTTCCTCCCTCCTCTCCCCCTCCTCTCCTCCACCCTCCCCACCGCCTCCTCCTCCCCTTCCTCCCGCCTCATTAGGCGCGGCCGCGGCGCGGGGCCCATTAGCGGATCAATTAGCCGAGGTCGCCGGCGGCGCGGTCGTTAAGCGCGGGAGGCCGCGGCGGGGAGGGGGCCCTGGAGACCGCACCTCCGCCCGCCCCGGCTTCCCGGCTGCGATCGCCTCCCTCCCCCCACCCGCCCCAGGACCCTCTGGTCACGCGCCCCACAGCAGACTCCAGGGCCCTCGCTTTACCCTTCCCAGCCCTCGGGCGGGATGGGGGAGCTTCGAGGCCCAGAGGGACACCCCAGGTCACAGCCGTGGTGTCCGTGACTGGGCAAGACCCCTTTTTCTTTGGAGAAGCCCAACGCCCTTCATCTGCCGGCAACATCAGTAATAATACTAATAATATCAGCTGACTTCTCTTGAGCCCTTGCAGGCTTTCTGCTAATCCTCGGAATAATTTCCCAGAAACAGATCAGACAAGTGACTTCACTTTCCTCTCTGCCTCGGTTTCTATCCACACACCCGCTGACCCATTTTGTATTTTCCCCAACGCATGTGTCTATCTGGCCACAAGGGTGGGGACTTAAGTCTTTCTTTTTCCTTCCCTGCTGTCCACAGGGCTCAGAGTAGGAGCTCAATAAGTTAAAAAAAAAAAAAAAGGAAGAATGAATGAATGAGTGAGGCTGTGCTAAAGCACTTTCTCCAGAGTCCATGATAGGATCTTCATGACAACGGTGTGATTATACCCATTTCACAGATAGGGAAAACCAAGACCTAGAGCAGTGAAGCTGCTTGCTTGCTCGAATCACCTTGCTGTGAGAGGAAGAGCCAGGATTTAAGCCCACGCTGGAGACTCTGTGTCCAGAACCATTATGGGATGTATTAGTAACAGCTGCTGTTCCCATCCCAATTGAAATTTTATAGTACCAGGGAAACTTGCTTTGTGAGGGAAGGTCAGAAAAATGACTTCTCAGGGTTTTGGGTATTAGAACCCAGGGGAGGGGGAAAAAAAAATCACTGTTTCAGAACAGCATGTGCAAAGGTCTCTATTCAAGGAAAGGCAAAATGTTTCAACCTGGCTCCAGCCTGCTGAGGAGGAATAATTAGAATGGTGGGTAGCAGATCCTCAGGGTGTCCTGGGCCTAGAATTTATTCCTAGGGCCACAGAGGCCAAAGATAATCTATTCTTTAAAACATTTTTTTAAATTGTGAGAAAAAAAAAAAAAAAGATACTCCCCCTTCCTGCCGGGATTTCCCTGAGTCCAGTGGTTAAGACTCCATACTCCTAATGCAGGGGTTCTATCCCCCGTCTGGGAACTAGATCCTGCCTGCCACATGGCAAAAAGATAAAAATTGTGAAGTAGAACACACAGAAGAGTGCCCAGGTTATCATTTGATCAATTGTCACAAAATGAATATACTCGTGTGATCAGCCCCCAAGCTTCCATTGTGGGTAGAAGTCCACTTTGGTAACCCCATGACATATGAAACTATAGGTCACTTGGGCCTGTTGTTCTTTATATAAATGGAATCACACAGCGTTTTTTCTTTTGCACGTGGCTCCTTCAGTGTTTGTGTGTGCTGCAGGTGTTGAGTGAGGTGGTTTCTGGTCCTTTTTCTGACTGCATAGTATTCCATGGGCAGCTGGTGTCACAAATTACCCTTCTACCCTTTGATGGACAGCTGGTAGTTTCCAGTTTGGGGCAATAATGACTTATTACAGCTGCTTTAAACACTCTGGTGGCATGTCTGTTGGATGGATCTAACACTGAAATCCAGGGGGATTGCTGGGTGCCAAGCAGTCTTTTGGAGGCAGATGTTAACAGTTTATACTCCCCAAGTCACAGACATGAGTTTTGGGGTTTTTTTGCTGTTGTTGTTGCAGCATGTGGGATCTAGTTTCCCGACCAAGGATTAAACCCTGGCCCCCTGCATTGGGAACACAGAGTCTTAACCACTGGATCGCTGGGGAAGTCGCTGCATTAACATAAGAGGATACATGTTAACCAGGTAGTGAGTGGTTTCATTACATTGATTTTTGCACGTGATCTGACTGTAGTGGGGGAGGGGGGAGGGTACAGAAGGAGGGTCCTCCTGTCCCCCCTCCACCTTCTTTCTCTGAGGGACAGAAGACATTTTCTCTGAAGTTGGGTGTCCATCACCACCCCTTCCCTCTTTCACTGTACCCTTGGCTGCCTGAAAAGCCAGTGGATCAGGCAGATAGTTGAGAATTCCTTGGTCTCCTCATGCCCCCAGTCCCTTGAGAATGAGAGTTCTATGCCAAGAAGCCCTGGCAAAGATCTTGCAAGACGGAAGACACTGCAAAGTCAAAAGGACGGCTCCCACTCTCCAGCCCATTCCCTGCCCTCAGCCCCATATCCTGGGTGGGGAGACTGATGTTCTCTTGACAAGTGCCAGGTGCCCTAGGGAACTGCCTTTCCTCCTGGCTCCCCCGCCCTAGGTGGTCCAGCTTGGATGCAGGGACATAAAGGCAGGCTCCACGTGGTCCTTGGAGAGTCGAGGCCCAGCCAGGAATCAGTTCTCTGATCTGGAAGAAGCATGTGTGTGTGTGCACAGTGACTGTTCATGGTTGTAACATCTGTCTCTTAAGGGTAAAGAATTTCGCTTAGGAACCATCTGGCCTGAGGCTCAGAAACCAGTCCCACCATTTATGCCCAGTGACCCCTTAGCTTCTGAGTCCTTTTGCCTACCTTTCAAAACAGCTGACCAGACCTCAGACACCTAGGCTTTGCTGTGTGACCTCAAGCCTCCATCTGACCCTCTCTGGCCTAGGCAGTGAGTTCAGGAACTAAATTATATTTACAAGCTGGACTCAGTTAGGACTTTTCATATCCAGTCCCATAAGAGAGGATGGGGGCTCAGGCTTGAAGGAGGCCCCCTCCTGCCCTGGGAAGGGGGTCACCGCGGGGCAGCCCGCAACACAGAGGCAGAAACACAGCGACCAACCTTCTCACGTCTTTATTTGAAAGGCACAGCTAAGCCCACCCTCGATACAGCATTTTCACTTCTCTCCGTAGAGATCAAACGATTGAACACAACAAAAGCTGACAGTCTAAAAGGCTATATACAGACACAGGTGTGGGTGTTGCTTTTTTTTTTTTCATTTTTCTGTCTTTTTCTTTTTTTTAATATCCCTTTTCTTAAAAGACAAGCTAGTATACTGGAAAAGGGAGGGGGGAAATAAAAACCAAGACAACTTGAGTACCCTCATCTTTATTCGGGAAGGGGAGAAAGGGAATTCTGAGTTGCTGGCCCCACTCTGTTCCCCTGGGGCTAAGATCGCTGTCGGTGGCCCCTTTCTTTTGTGGGTGCAGGCATCAGGAACTCATGGAGGGTGAGTGGGTGGGATGGAAGAGACGCAGGGTGCCCAGGGTGGGGAGGGGCAGCTAGCATTGTGTTTGCATGCAGTGCCAGGATGGGAGGCTGGGTGTCCCCCGAGGTGGGGGTCCCCCCTGGCGGGCAGACTGTCAGTTACATGTGTGTGAATCAGGGAAATGCAGGGGGTGTTGGACCTCTTGAGGTTTTGCTCCCTTAGGACGTGGCCTCCCACCTGCATCTCGAGGCCTTAGCTTGCCTCATCTGTGGTATGAGTGGGTACTGACCCATTCAAGAGGAGGAGGAGGGAGGCCAGGAATTGGGGGTAGGAGCCAAGCCAGGGTAGGGCACAGAAGCAGGGCGACAGCCCCAGCAGGCAGCTACCATAAATACTACCGGAGTTTGGCCAATCCCAAGCTATTACTGTGTCTCTCGTGCTGAACCTTCCTCTCTCAGTGTCTGTCTCCCCTCTGTCCCACCCCCCACCCTCCCCATCCCAGCCACCCACTAATCCGACTTCTCGCCATCGTCCTCCTGGTGGGTGTCACCGTCATGCCCGTTTTTGTCTTCCTTGGAGAGGTGGGCCTGGGAGCCCAGCGCCGACAGAGAGAGGAGGCCGGTGCCCGCGCTGACCGCCGGCAGAGAAGGGGGCTGCAGCCCCACAGGCAGGGGGGTCAGGGGCAGGGCCAGAGCCTGCAGCTGAGACAGCTGGTGGGCTTGGAGCTGCTGCTGCAGTACACAAACAGGGGAGCGTTAGCCCCCTTGAGCCCACCTGTCCCTCCCTTATCCGCCCCCCAAGACCTCAGACATACTCGGATGATGGAGTTCAGCTCAGGAGCAGTAACCTGCTTAGCCCTCTCGATGGCTCCCAAGACCTGCTGCTGGTGCTGGAAAGCAGGGGGTGGGGGGTGGAGAGGTGTCAGATGATTCACCCCATCTCGCTGGGATTTGTGGCACGGAGCCCAGAAGAAGCCCCACTCCCATCTGCCCTCCCTCTCCATGATTTCCCATCTCTCCCCTCGGGAAACTCCCCTCTCCAGTGGATTCACCAAGCCTCAGTCTCTTCATGGAAAATGGGATACATAGAGACGCACAAAGGGCTTGGTACCAGAATCTTAGGAAACTGTGGACTATGACCAATGCCACATGCAAAGAAGTCAAAGTTTCTAAGAGCTCAGACCAAGACTGCTAATGGAAGAGATCTGAGGTCTGCTAACCCAAGTTCCTCTTCCTCCACAGCCTGGGAAGGCCCAGTGAATTCTGGCAGGGCTGGGTGTAAGTCGAGGTTCGGGGAAATTCCCCAGCTTTCCCTGAAAATTTCTCTCTCTGGCTATCAGATGCTAAAATCTGCTAAGCTCCTTTTGTGCCTTGGCTACCAGGGAGCCCCTGCTATGAAAGGAAACCATAAAGCTAGATCTTCAAGGTCCTAAGAATCCCCTTCTCTGGGGCTTCCATGGTGTCCTCCTGGAATTGTCCCTGAGCATCCCCTGTAGGACCCCAAGGTACCAGCAGAGTTTAAAAAGAAAATGATGAATTATCAGCAGTAAATCTGGCAGAGGGCAGAGGGGCCTTACGTGACCCAGAAGGGTGTGTGCGCGTACATACAGTGGGCTTCACACCAAGAATCCCAGGAAACAGAAGAGGAAGAGCTGGGTACGTAGTCCCTCTGTGTGTCCATGTGCAGTATGTCTATGTGTTGCATCTGTGTGTATGTCTGTTGCATCTGTGTCTGTTTGTATGTCTGCCTCTGTGTGCGGAGTGCCTTCCTGTACACCCGATGGCCGGCAGGACCAGGCAGATGAATCTCAGGAAGGTGAAAGGCAGAAACAAAATTCTTGGTGCAGTGTTCGGCATTGTAGCTGACATCTTTACGGTGCAATGACTCACATGGCTGGGAATTCCACAGCTGGGTGAGGTCCCTCCCTTCACCCCTGGGGTTTCTGCTACACAGACTGGCTGATGGCTGGGAGGTCCAGAGAAGGCAGGCGGGCACGCAGATGGCTACAGAGGGGCGGGGCTGAGGAAAGTTCAGGGTCTATCTCCTCCCAGCAGACCCCAGGGGGCTCACCTCTTGGGACAGGTAGGGCAGGACCTGGGCACATATCCCATTTAGCCTCTTGACGATTTCAGCCTGGAACACACAGACACTTCAGCCCTGGGCAGCAGCCTGCCAGGGCAGGTACAGACCAGCCCTGGGAGGCCCAGTGGTTCTGTCTAATCCAAGAGGAGGCCGGCTGGGCCCAGGGTCATATCAACTCATCAGGCCCATGGGCACCCGATCAGCAGCAAAAGTGGCCCCTGGGGCTGAGCCTCTGAGGGTAGCTAAGAGCCCAGGACAGAGGGAAATCCAGCTTCAGTGGCTTGGGGTCTGGGTGGCCCTGGAAAGATGCCCGATGCCTTGTAGGTAGTGAGCATTCTGTGGGAGGGAGGGAGGGAGATGGGGGCAGCTGGCATCAGAATTCTGTAACACACCTGAGATAGGGTTTGGAGGGTGGGTTGGCCCGTCACAGTACCCCCCTCTCCCAGGGCTGTCACAAGAGACACAATGGGTGGGGGTGGCAGGTCCTGGGAAAGCCTCTGCCCCTCCCCCTCAGGGAGAAAAACCTCCCAGGGAGGCCTGAGAAAGAACAGAAGTGGGGGGGCTCCGGAGGTAACAGGATACCAAGGCAGACTTGGTGCTCAGCCAAGGGGTGGCGGGTTCCTACCTGCCTGGGCGGGGGGTGTGGGGCGGAGAAGGGGGGAAGGGGACATACCTGCTTGTGCATCTCGATGTTCAAGCCATAGGACATCTCGTAGTACTGTATAGGGGGGAGACAGAAATAGGGGCGGGTAATGGATGTTGGGCTCCAGAGACAAAAGACACAGGGGAAAGTGACAGAGAGAGACAAAGAGGGGGAGAAAGGGAGAGGTAGGGGGAGGGGAGGGCAGGCGAGAGAGATGGAGGCGGAAGCGGGGAGACACCCACACCTGGAGCTGGGGCCTAGGTGCCTGGTGAGGATGCTAGGGATGCCAGTGGGGACCTGAGTGCCCCATTTCTGGAATAATGACCTCACCCCCTACACACACACACACACACACATACACACATTCCAAGGCTCCTAATCTTTTATCTTTATGTGTCTTGTCTGCGGGTGGCCCCGGACTCCAGGGAAGTTTGTCTTCCTGGGTATAAATAATCAAGGATAAACAAATCCTGTTGGGTCTGCCTCTGGGGCCAGCGGCCCCCTCTCCTCACGCCCCACATGTGACCCTGCCCCTCCCCTGCCCTAAACCCTCCTATGACTCCCCATCACCCCCCAGGGAAGATAGGGGGAGAAAGCCAGGTTTGTGCGGCCTCCCCTTCTCTGCCCAGCTGGCTCCTATCCATTCATCAGGACCCCAGCTGCAATGCTTCCTTCTCCATGCAGCCTTTCTCCAAACAGGAGCACACCCTTCTGGAGTCCCCCAGCCCCATCCCTCTGAATCCAGAGGTTCCTTGTCCAGCTCTGCCTCCCCCATGGCCTGGGGGAAGTGGGCTCTGGGCTGGACTTAGACAGGGGTTTTAATGCAGAAATCACCACCTGGTGCATATGAAGCAAAGCAAGTGATTCCAGCAGTGTGCAGGGGCAGGGTCTCCAATGTCAGGCCCAAGAAGGCGGTGCCGCCCCCTCCCTCCCTTCCACCCACCCACCTCAAAAGAGTGTCAGCCTCCTGCCTGGGGAGGGGGTCCCTTCAGGAGTCCTCCTCCCAAGCTTGGACTAGGAAGGGTTAAGCCTGGGATGCTCAGACAGTGGGGGTGGGGCGGGGAGGGATCAACAACATCCCCCCCCCCACCCCAGTTCCTGGCTTTCACAGCCACTGGCTCCTCCGCTGCCAAGGACAGCCAGGGACCTGGCAGGCCCAGGCTGCAACCCGGTGGTTTGGCACCTCGGCCACTGCCCGGGCCAGCAGCCAGGCCAACAAGATGAACTCAGCCCGGCCAGGGGCTGGCTGAACGGAGAGCAGACCCTGACTCCTCGCACATCCCAGAGGAGATGGCCAGGGTTCAGACAGCAGCTGCCAGTGCTGGAGGGGGACCTGGGGTCCTCTGGCCCTGCCCACCGGACCCCTGGGCTGGCTTACCATCACGTAATGACGCTGCATTTCTGACTTCTCGCTGGCCAGCTTGTCACATTCGAGTTTCAGACTGAAGAAGAAGAGGGGGAGGGCCGGGGCTGGGATGAGGTCCCCCCCATTGTGCAAGGGAGCCCCAAACTTTGGTGAGGGTCAGAGAGAAGAGGGGGGAAGGGGAGCCTCAGGTGCATTAGCTGGAAACGGGATGATGAAACCCATCTTGAAGAAGTGGGGGTGGAGAAAACAATGCAAATAATAAAAACATAAGTCGGAGCAAATACCCTGACTGTAGGTCAGACAGGGATTCAAAGAAACTTTTTCCTATCATGAAATCCAGCGGAGTCAGGGCTGTTAACGTCAGTCTCCTTTATAAAGATGATGTAATGGATGCACAGAGAGGTTGAGTGAACAGGCTCAAGGTCACACAGCCAGGAAGCTGGCTTCAAAGGTCATACTCCCACCCACTGGGCAAAACTCTCCAGCAAAGAAGGAATAGACAGACTGCTGAGAGGTTGCAAGGGCCCAGAGCCCACTGGTAGGGCTCTGGACTGAATGCACTTAGGAATCTTCAAAGGCACCCAGCCCCTCTTGTGACCTCTGATTTCCCTGACTGGGGGGAGGGGTATAAATTTCCATCAGTGGGTAATAGAGTTGGTGACCCCCCTCCTCTCTTGGGTTGCCCCAGCAAGGATGAGCTTTGGACATTTCTCAAAAGCCCCCAAGGGGGTGTCAGGGTTACAGGTAGAAAGGTGAGGGCACAAACTCAAGCTAGATAGACTGGGTCCAAAGTTCAGCCCCGCCACTCTGATGCTGTGTGACTCTGGGCAAACTCCTCTACCTCTCTGGGCCTTGGTCGCTGAGTCTGCTGAGCTCCAGCCTCCCAGGGTGGGGTGGTGAGGACAAGATGAATTAAGACCAGAAACGTTCTTCATGCTGGCATACAGTAAGTACCCAATAAATACTTCATTGATCTTGTGGTCACCCCAGGAGACTTAAAGTTTCATTCCGCCAGACTGACCACGACTTGTATACCTGGGTTTACAGGTGAGCCACACTTAGTCTAATTCTTTTTAAAAATGTCCATGTGTGACCACTGTTAAAAATAAACTCAGGCAATTTCATTCCAAATTCGGCATTTCTGGCCTTTCCTGAGGAACTGGTAGATACTGTGACAGCCCCAACACGGTAGAAGCCCTCCGTGTACAGCAAGAAGCCCAAGCCCAGCGAATGGAAACTGTGAAGCTCAGAGAGGGGGTGTGACCTATCTGAGGTCACAGAGCGCTCTGACAACATCTCTAGAATTGGATCGGCTCCAGTGGTCACTGTGATGTGGGCTTGGGCCAGGCAGGGAGAGGGGACCCCCTGGAGAGGCTCAGAAAGGCCAGATCTGTTGCACGAAGCCCCTAAACCCTCCATATCACAGGATCAGAACAAAGTCCCTAGTCCTGCCCTTCAATCATCTATGCCTCTGATTCCTCATCTTTGAAATGGGCACAATGATAGGACAGCAGGGAAGACGAAACAAACGGATGTATGTTCACTCTTCAGCAAATGGGGAGAATGGGCAGTACCCCCTAAAAAACAAATACATCACTCTTTCTAATTTCTTCTTGGAGAAATCCCAGGATCCTTCAAAAAATACTTCTGTGTGGGTAAACAGGTCCAGGGAGGGCCCAAAACCCCAGTGATATATAAATTCCTCCTCTGATTCCCAGGCAAAGCCCCCCTCTGTAGCAGAGCCTTGAGGATCTGCTTTCTTCAACCCAGAGATGGGGTATGAATCTTGCTACTTTGTTGCTGTGCAATCTCAGAAAATCTCTGGGCTTAAGTTTTTCCAAGTGTAAAATGAAAATAAAAATAAATAGTTCCTTTCTCTTTAGATCCGGCACATGGCAAAACCCTTTAGCAATGTCAGATTCAATTCTGGAGGGGGAATCACCTTCCTGCTGGGTGGCAGGAACTCCTTCTCCAAAACCAGGCAGAGAGGTAACAGGCTACAGATTTGGGGGTGGGTGGGTGGAGGGCTTTGGGGAGATGGAGAATCAATCACCAATTCCAGATGCTGGGGGAGTCTTATCCATTGGTGTGGGGGTGGGGAGAGGAGCCCTAAAACCAGATAACTTGAGTCTGGGCAAATTATTGACATTTTTGATGCCTCAGATTTCTCATCTACAAAATGGGACTGTCTTAAAGACTAAATAAATGAATGTCATACATATCCCTGAAGTGGTAAAGACAGTGCCCGCCACCTAAGACCTTCAAGGCCTCTATTTTTTGGAGTCTGTATATAAAAGCAGATGCCACAATCTCCGCTCCAGGCCTCAGTCTGGGGCAAGGGGCTCCATCAGAGCAAGGGGCTCCACCTTCTCCCAGCTCCCAGCCCCCAGCTCACCTGTGGTACTGAGCCTGCAGCAGTTGAAACTCATCTTTGATGCGGTCGCAGGAGTCCGAAGTAGTGAATTTGAGTTGCTGGGGGAGGTGCGACGAGCCCTGCGCGGAGGGGGCGGCGGCCCGGGTCAGGACCCCACAGGGCAGACATCCACCGCTCCCCCGCCACGGAGGCCCCAAGGCGGCGGCAGGCGCAGCTGCAGCGCCCCCCCCACCCCTGCCCCACTTCCCGGGCCCGTGTTTACAGCTCCTGGCGCGGCCCCCGCCCTCGCTTCCTGCCCCCGCCTCTCCAAGGGGGGTGGGTGCGCCCGGAGTCGCTCGTCCCCCGCCACCCCGGCTGTGGGGGTGCGTCTGAAGGCCCGCCCTTGGTGGGGGCAGGGTGCGCCCTCTACCGCGCCTCCAAAGCGCCGGGAGGGGGTGCACTCTGAGCGCCCAGTTGCCTCTGGGGGGAGGAGAACGCGTCCTAGAGAGACCCCCCCAAGTTGGGGGGGAATGAGGTTTCCTAGCCTAGTCCCCTTGGGGGAGGGGCCTCTCTCACCACCTGAAATTTCCGGGGGGGCACCCCTGATTCTGAGTACCCTTCCTCTGGGCCGCGCTCTTCCGGGAGGGGTGCGCCTCGGGCCTCCCCCGACTCCCGGACCCCAAAAGCACCCCCAGCCTTAGAGGTGCCTGGTGGGGCTTCCGGGGCGCCCTAGGCCTGAGGCCAAGGCCGCCGAGGCCCAGCCTGGCTTGGGGGGGTGCCCAGGGCCCGGGCTGGCGCGCGGGGGGGGGGGGGTCTAAGCTGGGAGCTGGAGGGGACCAGGCTTGGAACCAAGGAGGGGGTGCTCTGGTCCCGGAAGCCGGGAGGGGGGCCGAGAGCTACGGGGGATGGGAGGGAGTCCGGGAGCTGGCGGCGGGGGTGGGGAGTAGCGCTGGGCCCAGAGCTAGAGGGGACTGGGCCCAGGAGTTGGGGGGGAGATGCCGAGCTGGGAGCTGGGGTGGGGGTGGCCCGACTGGGATCTGGAGTTGGGGGCGCAGGGCTTGGATCTAGAGAGGGAGCTGAGTTTGGACCTGTGGGGGGGGGGGCAGGGCCCGAACCTGGGGGAGGGAATGGTTCGGCTGGGAACTGGGGGAACCGGACCGGAACCTGGGGGGACGCAGGGCCCAGAGCTGGGGGGATGGCCCGGCCAGGAACTGGGGGGTGCCGGGCCCGGATGGGGTGGGCGCCGGGCCGGCGGGCCCCGCTTACCGAATGCCTGCTTTGTGGAAACATCATGTCAGTCGCGGCGGGGGGCGCGGGCTGCGCCCCGGCTGTGCGCCCCGGCTCGGGCTGCTCGGGGCGCCGGCGGCCGCGCCTTTGTCCCGGCGCCGATCGGGAGCTCCCGGGGCCGCCGCCGCCGCCTCCCGCGCCCGGCCTCGCCCGCTTCCTGCGCCCCCTCCCCGCGCGCCCGGCCCCGGCGCGCCCCGGGCCCCGCTTCCTGCGCGCCCGGCGCCCCTCCCCGCCCCTCCCCGCCGCCCGCCTCCCCGCACGCCCGGCCGCCGCTCCTATTGTCTAATGGCGGCGACGCCGGCAGTGGCCGCGGCCTCGGCTGCGCGGAGGCTCCGGCTCCACCTGCTGCTGCCGCCGCCGCCGCCGCTTCTGCTTCCCGGGCCCCGTGCGCGCCGCCGAGGGGGGGGGCGCGCGCCCGGGGAGGCCCGCGGATCCCCACCCATCCGCCTCCCCCGGGCAGGCCGGCGCGGTGACCTTGGGCCCGGCGCGCCCCCGCCGCGCCGCGGCCCCTGCTGGCCGAGTGGCCGGGACGGCCGCCCCGGGGCCTCGGTTTCCCCATGTGTCAGAGCCGGGGGGCCCGGCTGCCCCAGCTGCCCCCATCGAAACTGCCGGCGCAGTCATGGCGCGACCCGGACGCGTGCCATGGACATGCTCTGTAACCTTGGCTCAGGGGATGTTTTCTGAGCCACGATTTCCTCTTCTGTAGAAAGGAGGTGGTGATAACCACCGAGCTTCTGGGAGCCATGGCTTCCACACACATTTATGGAGCGCCTACTGTGTGCCAGGCCTCGCTCCAGGATGTGGGGGTGGGAGGGGATACAAAGTCCCGGCCCTGGTGGAGATGACACGAGACACAGAGACAAACCCATGAACCGCATCCCTAGCAGGTCAGACAGTGGTAACAGCGATGGAGAAAACAAACCAGGAGGGAGGGCCGGAAGGTGCGATTTTAAACAGGGAGGTCAGAGGGCCTCCTTGGCTTCTAAGAGGACCCAAAGGCGAGAGAAGGAACTGGCAGGCTATGGGGGTAGTGGCTTAGTCAAGGAGGCAGGGACAGCCAGCACAAAGGCACTGAGGCAGCACGGCCTGGCACGGGGTGGGGGTGGAGTGCTTGGGAGGAAACGAGGGCAGGGAGGCAGGGCCAACAACTTCACAAGCATTCATACAGGGCCCCAGCTCCCAGAAGGGCTGTGCTCTGGTTAATGATCTGCCCTTGTGGTCTCTGGAAATTCCTAAATAATTTTTGAACAGGGGTCCTCACAGTTTAGTTTTGCATTGAGCCCCACAGCTTCTGTAGCTGGTGATGGGGGGGACAGATGTTGCAGGGCCTGGTGGGTGGTGGGGAGGACCTGGGCTTTTACTCTGAGAGTAGTGGGAGCCCTGGAGGGCTGTGGGCAGAGGAGGGGCCGGGCCTGACTCAGGCCTGGAAGAAGCTATTGAAGTAATGCACGGTGAAGCCAGTGCAAGTGTTAAAATACACAGGCTTTTAATAATCACCATCACCAGCATCATCAGCTGTGCACCTTGCCTCGTGGATGAGTTTGACTTCTTTGGGCCTTGAATTTTCCCATCTGTAAAATGGAGTTAGGACCCTTGTCACCTTTCCTGGGCAGTTGAAGGGTTAGGACTAGGTGGAGATGAATAAGCTAAACTGAAGCCTCTTCTGCCCCCAAAGCACCTGAAGATAAAACAGCATTTTTAACACCATATATTTTCAGTTCAGTTCAGTCTCTCAGTCATGTCCGATTTTTTGCGACCCCATGGACTGCAGCACATCAGGATTTCCTGTCCATCACCAGTACCCAGAACTTGCTCAAACTCATGTCCATCGAGTCGTTGATGCCATCCAACCATTTCATCCTCTGTCGTCCCCTTCTCCTGCCTTCAATCTTTCCCAGCATCATATTTTTAAATTTATTTTCCTTAGTTTTCAATTCAATCCAGTCGCTCAGTCATGTCCAACTCTTTGCGACCCCATGGACTGCAGCACGCCAGGCTTCCCTGTGCATCACCACCCTTTTTTAGTTTAGTTCTTTTTGTTTTTCCCTGGCTATTCCATGGAGCTTGTGGGATTTCAGTTCTCTGATCAGGGACTGAACCTGGGCCATGGCAGTGAAAGCCCTTAACACCGTATTTTTTTAAATAAAAATTAATGCCAAAAAATTCACCATGAAAAAATATCAACATATGAAATAGTAAGGTAGGATCCAGTAGGACCAGAGATGAGTTAAGAAAATGTGGGGTTTCCTTAATTCCGATGCTGGAAAAGTCACACATTTTTAGTAAGTTTACTGTTCCTGGACTAGTAACCCTGGTAGTCCAGTGGTTAGGACTTGTTGCTTCCACTGCTTTGATTGGGGAACCAAGTGGCATGGTTGGGGAAGCGAGTGGCAAGGCCAAAGAAAAAAAGTTGTAGAAAGTTTATTGTTCCTAACCGTCCTGGAATATGTGTACCCCACAAATTGTATTGGAATCCTGGATGGGAATGGGCTAAAGAGTTTTCGTGGCCCTGGGCAAAATGAACATGCAGGGTCTCTGGTTCAGAAAAGATCAGGAATTTTAGGATGGTGACAACAGAACATCAAACTAAGTGCAAGTCCTTTCCTTTTTTTTAAAAAAAGCATTTATTTGGCTGCTTTCATTGGGCTGGTCATGTGGGTGCCCCGAGGCACGTAGGGGCTTAGTTCCCCAACCAGGGATTGAACCCTAGTCCCCTGCATTGCAAGGCAGATTCTTAACCACTGAACCACCAGGGAAGTCCTAGGCCTTCCTTTGAAGGCACAGTCCTGTAGGGCTGCCTGAGTCACAGGCCCAAGAAACCAGCCTTGCTGCCAGTCCTCTCCACCTGCCATGGGGACCAGACACCCTCTCTCCTGGGAGACCACCTGCATCCAGGCAGGCAGTTCCCTGTATTCGGGTGCTTGGTGACCATTTTAGCAGACCAGACTTGGAGCTGGTCAGACACCTCAGTACAGTGGGGGTAAGGGCTGGGCCTTTCAGCATGTAGAGACGCCCAGAATTTCGACCCAGGTTATGAATAAACCAACCCACCTGTTTTAATTTTTTTACCAGTCTCTGTTTTAGCATTTTAACCCTGCCATTATACCCATTTTAAGAATGAAGAAATGAAGGCACCAAGAGGTTAAGAGACTTGGCCAAAGTCACACAGATGGTGGGTGGCAGTGCCAGGAGGTCAGCCCAGGTCCTTGGGCCCTTGATGTCTATGCGATCCTGCCCCTCTGTTCATTGTTTGGTTGCCAAGTAATGTCAGACTCTTCGTGACCCCATGGACTACAGCACACCAGGCTTCCCTGTCCTCCACTATCTCCTACAGTCTGCTCAAACTCGTCCATTGAGTTGGTGATGCCATCCAACCATCTCAACTTCTGTCACCCTCTTTTCCTTCTGCCTTTAATCTTTCCCAGCATCAGGGTCTTTTCCAATGAGTCAGCTCTTCGCATCAGGTGGCCAAAATATTGGAGCTTCAGCTTCGGCATCGGTCTTTCCAATGGGTGTTCAGGATTGATTTCCTTTAGGATTGACTGGTTTGATCTTCTTACTGTCCAAGGGACTCTCAAGAGTGTTCTCCAACAATACAATTCAAAATCATCAATTCTTTGGCGCTCATAAGAACCTCATGGACAGTATGAAAAGGCCTTTTTAGGTGGGGCATAAAGGCAAAGTGTGGTAGGGAGACTAACTGGAGAGGAGACTAACCAGATGATGGAGGACCCTGCTTTCTGATCTGAGGAGTTGTGGTAGTCCCTGGAGGGAACTTGGGAGCCATGGATGACTTTAGAGCAGGGTTTGTCAGTTACCACTCTTAACATTCTGGCCTGGATCATTCTCTGGGGTTGGCTGTCCTGGGCACTGTGGGGTGTGTAGCAGCATCCCTGGCCCCCACCTATTCAATGCCAGGAGCCCCCCAGCCCCAAATTCCCTGGGGCAAAGTCGCCCCCAGCTGAGAAGCACTGACATAAAACAGCAGAGAGAGACCACCACGGCAGGTGGCAGAAGATGCTTGCCGGTAGTGGGAATGGATATAGGCAAGTCAGGAAGCCAGGAGACCAGAGGGGATACCTAAACTAAGGTTCAGGAGAGGCCCAGGCTAGCCCAGGCCTGCTGTCTGGAGGAGCTTTGGGGGCAGAAAGAACAGAATGCTAGGGACTTCCCTGGTGGTCCAAAGGCTAAGATTCCACCCTTCCAATCCAGAGGGCCCAGGTTCGATCAAGTAGTGAGTCTTGACCTAGAGAAAGCATCTATGAGGTTTCATTGTCATCATCTTACAACTTCCGTAGGCCTGAAATATTTTCAAAGTCAAAAGATGAGTGAAGAAAATATGGATTTCCTGACTTTCTGGTCAGATGCTGGTCTCTAAATGTCGAGAAGAAGCAGGGGGACTTCCCTGGTGGCCCAATGGATAGGACTCTACGTTCCCAATGCAGGGGGCCCAGGTTCCATCCCTGATCACGGACTAGATCCCTTGTGCCGCAGCTAAGACCCGGTGCAGCCAAATAAATAAATAGTTAAAAAAAAAACCAAAAAAACCAATATGCCAGTGGGTGGGGGAAAGGCAGGGCAGAAGGCTGCAGTCCAAGAGGGGATAGTCTTCATCATATTATTAATTTGTGGGGGTGGGGGGGAACTGGGGCTTTTGAAGACCTTACTGTCAGAGTAGCTGTCATCCACACCCCTCAGCTCCTACCCATCCCCAGCTCCTTTCCTTTCCCTGGGGTTCTCTGGCCACATCTGGGGCCAAGTTGGGGCGGGGATCTGTCTCGCGTATCCAACAGCCTGAGACCAGCCTTTCGGCCTGCTTACAAATGAGCGCTGGGCCCCGAGGCCTCAGGGCAGAGCCAGGCGCTGGCTGGCCTTTGATGGATGGGGCTGCGGGGCCATTAATCAGAGGCGGGGGAGGAAACAGGTGGCCGCCGGCAGGCACGGGGACCTCCCTGTGATAGGCCTGGTGGAGTGGGGGCCTCAGCTGTCCAGCCTAAGCTTGAGAC